AACCCCAGCAGGGATCAGCCCTGCTCTGGCAGGATGGGATGAGCTCCCCCTCAGCACAGGGACCTTCCCTCATTTTGGGATCTGTTTTGGGATCCCTCCTCCTGCTCAGGTAACGAGGGTGGGGCCCCAAACAAGGAGCTAAGCATGGAAAAGGTGCAGGAATAAATAATGTGATGGCAATTGCCAGGGAAGGGGACTCCCAGAGGTCAGGATGTGCAGCACAGAGCTGCAGGCTGGGCCCGGGGCTGCTCACAACATTCCCATGCCCCCATGGATTCCCCCGGGGTAAAACCAGACCCCACCACGGAGCCTGAGCACCCCCAAATTCCCCCCTGGGCCCCCTCACTGCTTCCCTTCCTGGAGAGGGAAGCTGTGCTCAAAACCAGCTCAGGGAATCCTGGAATTTGGGTGGGAAGGGACCCCAGAGCCCCCAGCCCAGCCTTGGACATTGCAGGGATCAGGGCAGCCCCCTGAGAGCAGCCAAGGAGCTTCCTGGAAACCCCCAGAGGAGATTCCTCTCCTCAAATCTCTGGTTTTTTCCTTCCATTCTGAGTCTTTCCAGTGTGGTGGTGACTGGAACTGTCTGGCAGGAAACAGGGATGAGCTCTGGCTCCTTTCTGGTTTCAGCAGGAAAACTCCCAAGCAGCACCCAGGGATATTTTTGGTCCTACAGAGCTGGGCAAGGAAATGCCCAGCAAAATTCCTTATGTGGACAAGGGCATGTAAAAAGGACCAAAAACACAAAAAACCCAAACCAAACCAACAGAAAAAAATGTAATCCAGACCTCAAGCCACCAATGATGGCCTAAACAATTCCAGTGGGGCTCCAAGGCCCTTGGAAGCCACCAGGAGCTCAAAATAGAAAGGGAGGACCAAGCACTGAGCTGGACACAGAAACTGAATCCTCCTGAATATTTCCACTTTCATGTTTTAGCTCTTTTAAAATATTTAGATCTTATCAGCCCAGTCAGCACAAAATCCAAGGGATTTAGAAAGCTAAAATAAGAAATCCAGGGCATAAATGCTTGGCCACCCCAACTTCCAACAGTTTTCTACTCCAGGGGGAATAAAATTGTGCATTTAAACAACAAAAAAAAATGGAAAAAGCGAATATTCCATGGGATTCCCTGAGAAAGCAGGAAAGCAGCAGCCTGAGTGTTTGGGATGGGATGTTGGAAACATCCATAAAACCCATCATGCCTTCAAATCCCAAATCCTAAATCAAATTTGGGAATTTGGCTTGTCAGCATGCAAACCCCCCCAGCTCCAAATCCCAGCCAAAACCATTAAACTGGAAATTCTCCAAGAATATTGCCAGGGCCAGCAGCTCCTTACTGGATTTTGTCATTGGCTTCCCAGGCATCCAATATCCTCTGCACCAGGCAGCACTTCTGGAACAGCTGCAGGAAAAGGAGAATATTCAGGATTTCCCAGAGAACTCTGTGGATCCCCCTGTTCCTTCCCTTGCTCCTCCTCAGGAATTAAAAAATTTAAAAATTGGCATTTTCCAACCACCCCACTGAGCCCTGGTCACTAACAGCTGGAATGTTCTTGGTTAGCTTTTCTGGCCAAAATTACTTTTTTTTAATGTAAAAAATTGGAATTTTAATAAAAATGGGGATAATTTTAATAATAAATAGGGATAATTTTGATAAATACCAAGGGATTCACAGGGCCATTAAATGAGGGCAGTTTTAGTGGGATGCTGCAAATAAAGGCACAAAAGCTCCACGAGAACCACTACAAATGATAATGAATAATTATAGAGCCCACTAAAAATAGACAAAAATAAATAAGAATAAAAGCCACTACAAATTATAATAAATAATAATAAAACCCACTAAAATAGAAAATTAATCATAAAATATAAAAATAATAAAAGCCCACTAAAATAGATGCTAAATCATAAAATATAAAAATAAAAATAATATATAGTAAATAAAACCCTAATAAATAAATAAAAATAAAATAAAATAAATAATAAATAAAAAATAAATTTAAAAATAAGTAGAAATTATAATAAATAATAACAAACCCACTACAAATTCTAATGAATAACAACAATCTCCACTAAAATAGAAATAAATAATAAAGCCCACTAAAAACTGATAATAAATAATAAAAAAATCATTTTAGAAACGCAATAAATGCTATAACAAACCCCACTGGAAGTGAGGTATAAAATGGAGCAGTGCTGGGAGCAGCCCCCCCCTCCATGCCCGGCTCTCACGTGGGTGACCATGACGCTCTGGGTGGCTCCTGCCGGGGGCTCCGGGGGCTCCGCGGGTCCCGAGGCTTCGGGGGGTCCCGGGGGTCCCGGGGGCTCCAGGGTCCCGCTCGCAGCCGCCTCCTCTTTGGTGCCCTGCTCGGCCGGGCTGCCCTTGCCCTCCTGCACCGAGTGCGACAGGATGGCTGCTATGGACAGCTCCACTTGGAAATGCAGGAAGTTATTCCACGTGTACTTAAAAAACAAATCCTGCAGGGAAAGGAGACACGCCGAGCTCAGTCGGGGTGGATTCCCCGCGTTTAACCATCGGTGCTATCAGGGATCTTTAATCCAAGCCATGCCAGGACCCTGCGACTCTGGGATATTGAATTGTTGCCCGAGTTGTGCTTGCTCAGCAATTCCACTCCAACAGTTTTCCTGCCACCCAACACCCACTGCTGGCTGGGCTCTGCATTCCCAATTTCTGGGAAATCAGGAATATTCCCAATGGATGGAGCACTTGGGAATCCTCTCACACACACACACACACACACATACACTGAATAAAACAACTCTGCTGGGGCAGAGTTAATGAATGAGTGAATGCATCCTCGGAAAAAAGGGAGCTAAATCTTTGCTGAGGATGGAATGAATTGTCCCAATTCCAGCCTCAGGGACCCTGGGAGAGAATTCGTGTCTCAGCACTGCAGGAGCTCACACACACACACACACACACACACACACGGAGCACAGACTGTCCCACAGGACTGGCACGGAACTGAGGGCGTGAGGCCCAGCCCGAAGCCCCGAGCAGTCACAGGAGGTCACAGAAGAGCAGCGGGGGAGAGAAGCGCCCAGAGCGGGCACAGGGGCAGCCGCCGGCTACTCACGAGTAACAGGTCCATGGTGCCGAGCCTGCAGAGCTCCCCGTTGATGCTGGGGGTGTTGGTGTGCAGCAGGGCGGCGATCAGGCGGGAGCCGTGCAGCCGCGCGTTGCCCAGCGGCTCCTCCAGCACCCCCAGCGTGGTCAGGATCGCCGCTTTCTGCGGGACACGGGCGCCGCTCAGGCAGGGACAGCGCTGCCCACGAGCAGGGCTGTCCCCGCCGTGCCCGGGGGGACACGGGGCCCCGGCAGCGCTGGGAGCCCCGCTCTGAACACAGCCCAGAGCCACCGCACGGGTCCCCGTGTCGCCTCCCGCCCTGCAGGGCCTGACTGCGTGATCCCCAACTAGCCCAGCTGTCCTGGATTCGGGCATTTAACAGAACCCTCTCATTTCAGGAATGTTCTCAGCAGGGAAACCTAAATCACCTTCCCAAGAGGATGGTTCTGGGACCACTGTGAAATCTGACTTCCAAATCAGATTAAATATTAAATATCAGATTAAAATCCCAACTACCCACTGAAAGTTTCTTCCTCTCCATCCCTTCCCATCTCCAGTCATCCCCCAGCCCCAAAGATTTCCCTGAACCCTCAGATGACCCTCAAGACTCCTGCAGATTCCTGCTGCAGATCCTGCAGCATCCCTCACATCCACATCCCTGTTACAGAATGTGTGTGGATGTCCCTGTCCCTCCCTTGGCTGTGTGTCCCCAGAGCTCTGTGTGTCCCCAGAGCTGTGTCCCCAGAGCTTGGCTGTACCTTGGGTGGGTGAAGCAGCAGCTGGTGGAAGTCCTTGAGGCGGGGCTCGATGCCGTGTAAGATGCTGCTGTTGACAGTGTAAGACCTCTCGAATCCCTGAGTGTACGAGTCCATCAGGCCTTCCACTCTGGGGGAATACCAGGATTCACTCAGGATTCACTCAGGAGTCACTCGGATTCACTCAGGATTCACTCAGGAGTCACTCAGGAGTCACCCACAATTCCCTCTTCCCATTCTGAACATCCTAGGGTCCTCAAGATCCCTCCTAGCCCAATCCATCCTGGGATTCTTGGAATTTATGACATTACACCACTGCCCAGCTCAGTGTTTCATCAGCAATTCCACTCAAACCATTTTCCTTCTCCACTTCCCACATTCCACCTTCCTTCTCCTGCCCCAGTATGCAGAGGTGGAGATTTTGTTAAAGAGCCTTCAGTCACACTGGCCACATCAATGGTTTTCTCTTTGAAAACGAGGATGAAAAATAAAAATGTTCAGCTCCTGAACACATTCCCATACCTGCATGATATTGATTCTATCGTATTAATTATTTCCATTATTTATTATACTGTATTAGTTACAGTATATATATATGTATTACACTGGTATCATCTCCAAGGTGCTGCTCACACAGCCAAACCTGTGCTGGGCTCAGGGAGAGCTGACCAGAAACAACCTCCCAGCAGAGCTGGCAAACCACATTCCCAAAGCACTTCCAAACTCCCAAACACTTCCAAAGGAAACAGCTCAGCAAGAGTTACCTAATGAATGTTTGTTCCTCCCACTGTCCCAGGTGCTCCAGCCCCAATGTCCAGCCTGGCCTTGGGCACTGCCAGGGATCCAGGGGCAGCCACAGCTGCTCTGGCAATTCCAGCCCAGCCAGCAATTCCCAATTCCCCAGATCCCATCTAGAAGTCCCCTCTGGCAGCCAGGAGCCATTCCCTGTGTGCTGGCACTGCCCATCCCCTGGTGCCCCATGGATCCATTCCCCGTGTGCTGATCAGTGCCCAACTGATCCCACTGATCCCACTGATCCCCTGATCCCCTGATCCCACTGATCCCACTGATCCCCTGATCCCACTGATCCCACTGATCCCCTGATCCCCCTGATCCCACTGATCCCCTGATCCCACTGATCCCATTGATCCCCCTGATCCCACTGATCCCTCTGATCCCCCTGATCCCCTGATCCCATCGATCCCCCTGGTCCCTCTGGTCCCGGCTCACCCCGAGCGCCGCGTTTCCAGCAGTGTCAGGAGCACCTGGGTTCCGTTCACGATGCAGGTCTCGCTCTGCTCCCCGTCGAACATGTTCCTGAGGAGCTGCTCCACACACTCCTGCCTGGGGACACAGGGGTCACTGCCACGGGGAGCCCAGCAAGGCACAGGAACATCCCATCCCATTATCCCATCCCATTATCCCATCCCATCCCATCCCATCCCATCCCATCCCATTATCCCATTATCCCATTATCCCATCCCATCCCATTATCCCATCCCATCCCATCCCATTATCCCATCCCATCCCATCCCATTATCCCATNACTTCCAAAGGAAACAGCTCAGCAAGAGTTACCTAATGAATGTTTGTTCCTCCCACTGTCCCAGCTGCTCCAGCCCCAGTGTCCAGCCTGGCCTTGGGCACTGCCAGGGATCCAGGGGCAGCCACAGCTGCTCTGGCAATTCCAGCCCAGCCAGCAATTCCCAATTCCCCAGATCCCATCTAGAAGTCCCCTCTGGCAGCCAGGAGCCATTCCCTGTGTGCTGGCACTGCCCATCCCCTGGTGCCCCATGGATCCATTCCCCGTGTGCTGATCAGTGCCCAACTGATCCCACTGATCCCACTGATCCCCTGATCCCCTGATCCCACTGATCCCACTGATCCCCTGATCCCACTGATCCCACTGATCCCCTGATCCCCCTGATCCCACTGATCCCCTGATCCCACTGATCCCATTGATCCCCCTGATCCCACTGATCCCTCTGATCCCCCTGATCCCCTGATCCCATCGATCCCCCTGGTCCCTCTGGTCCCGGCTCACCCCGAGCGCCGCGTTTCCAGCAGTGTCAGGAGCACCTGGGTTCCGTTCACGATGCAGGTCTCGCTCTGCTCCCCGTCGAACATGTTCCTGAGGAGCTGCTCCACACACTCCTGCCTGGGGACACAGGGGTCACTGCCACGGGGAGCCCAGCAAGGCACAGGAACATCCCATCCCATTATCCCATCCCATTATCCCATCCCATCCCATCCCATCCCATTATCCCATCCCATCCCGCTCTTCCCACTGCTCTGTGCCACCACCAAGGAATGACAGCCAGGAGGAACAGGGGGCTGAGGCCAGCCCTGCTCCCCAGCCCTGCTCCCCACCACATCCCAGCCCCATCCCTCAAGGACAGCTCCCCAGAATCCAGCCCTTGGGAAGTCCCTGCCCTGCCTTCCCCAGTCCTGCCAAACCCAGCATCCCTGCAGTTCACAGCCCAATCCTGGCTGTTTGTTAGTTCCAAAAAGTCTCCTTTCCATGGGTGTAAATAAAATATGAGACAAAAATGTAAAAACAGCTGAATAATTCATGAGGGACGATTATTTGAATAAGGAGCATCTAAATAGCCTCTGTCAGCAGAGCAGGGCAGGCAGAGGCAGGAAAAGGAGTCAACTTTCTGAAATGAGCCAAATTCCCTTTATTGCACCCAGCCTGCACCTGGATTTGGGGCCCTTTCCCTGATCCCACCTCCTTGATGCTGATCATTCACTCCTGACTCAGGGATGATAAAAGTTATCCAAAACCCAAAAGGTCACTGTAATGCTGGGAAAATTAGCCAGGAAGGGTAATGAGCTTTGTGACCTTCAGCAGAATGGGAAGAGGAGCAAGAGAATCCCTTTGCCCAAAATGTTCCTTTATTTTGAGTAGGAATTCTGGAGATGGTTCCTGGAAGTGCAGGGTCCCACATCCCTCTCCAAAACTACCAAGAAAGCCTAAAATTACCAGAAAAGTCTGGAAGTGCCCCATCTTCCACAGCCATGGCCCCTCCCACTGCAGGGAACCACAGCCCTCATTAAAGGTCTTGGGATTCCCAGGGGGAATGACTGAGCTGCAATCCCAGCTCCAAAATACTGAGGGCTCAGAACTGACACGGAGTCAGGGATGTGACCTCCAGTGCCTCCAGCTCCAGAGTCCAACTGCAACAGCACCTGGAGCTGCTCCAGGGCTGGAGCCCCTCAGTTCCCAGGGATCCAGGCTGGGAGAGCTGGGGGTGCTCACCGGGACAGGAGAAGGATCCAGGGAGAGCTCCGAGCCCCTGGCAGGGCCTGGAGGGGCTCCAGGAGAGCTGCACAGGGACTGGGGACAAGGAGGGACAGCACACAGGGAATGGCTCCCAGTGCCAGAGGGCAGGGCTGGCTGGGATCTGGGGAATTGGGAATTGCTGGCTGGGCTGGAATTGCCAGAGCAGCTGTGGCTGCCCCTGGATCCCTGGCAGTGCCCAAGGCCAGGCTGGACATTGGGACAGTGGGAGGTGTCCCTGCCATGGCAGGGACACCTCCCACTGTCCCAATGTCCAGCCTGGCCTTGGGCACTGCCAGGGATCCAGGGGCAGCCACAGCTGCTCTGGCAATTCCAGCCCAGCCAGCAATTCCCAATTCCCAGTTCCCAGGATCCCACCCAGCCCTGCCCTCTGGCCATTCCCCTTGTCCCTCCATTCCAGCTCTGGATGAACAATCCCCCTCTGGCTTCCTCTGAGACCCCTTCAGACCCTGAAGCTGCTGTGAGGTCCCCACACAACCCTTCCTTCTCCAGGCTGAAATTCCTTGGGTTTGTGCCTCACCCTGGATCAGGCTGGGAGCTTGGAGCTCCCTGATCCCCCCTCCTGCTTCTGGACAGAGAGCCCCAAACCCCAAATCCTGAAGAGACTGCTCAGGGCTGCTCCAGCTCCAAAGGAACATCCCTGCTGTGTCTGCTCCCTGTGGAAGGATCCAGGAGCGCCCCCAGTGCTCCCAGTGCCCCCAGTACTCACGATTCCAGTGCTGTGAGAAGTGGATCCGGCTCTGGGACATCCTGGAGCTGAGTGCTCTGGTCTCTGCTCAGCCTGATGATGTCACACAGGGTCTGGGAAGCGTTGGATTGCCTCTGCAAACAGGGACAGGAGCAGCGTCAGGCTGGGAATGCTCTGGCTGGGATCAATCCCATTCCTGCTCCCCCTGGAGCTCCTCAGTGCTGGACACTCCTGGAGAAGCAGCACCAAAGCACTCAGGGGAGATTGGCCCAAACGAGACCAGCAAGGGCAGTTCAGGAGCTCAGGGATGAGGATTCCTGTTCCTCTCCTCAATCCTGCTACCCTGCACATAAACATTCCATCCTTCCTCCCACTGCCCAGCTTTCCTGCTGGAGAAAACCCTTCACCATTTCATTCCTGGGGACTGAAAGGGCCAGGGGTGTTTGAGGAATTCATCCTCTGGGTCTGGCCATCAGTCAGAGGCTCTCTGGAGCTGCTGTAGCTCAGCACCTGCCCCAGCACAAACCCATGGCCATGTTCCCAGTCCTCCTCTCACAGCTTGCCTGGCATGAGCTGAGGGAGTTGGGCTCAGAGAACTGCATTTCTGGACTTTACAACTGAATTCCTACTCGGGCTAACAAGATGTGCAAATGGCACCAAGTGGCTGATTTTAAAGGATCTTCCAGAAGAGTAGGAACTCCTTAATCCCAAGGGAAGTCCCCACTGTCTGTAGGTTTGAGATGAACTAAAGCAGCAGAACCAAGAAACTTGGATTAAAATAAGTCAAAAGCAGATGAAACCACTCCAAAACCCCACATCTGGTGCTGAGCAGAGGTTGGGACATCCCAAGGCCATCTCCAGTGGCTCCTCCACAGGTCACCAGGACCAGGAAAACAGGAATCTGCAGGACCCTGCAGGAGCCAGCACCCCAAATCCCCAGCCCTGGTGCCACTCACATCCTCGTCCTGGCTCGAATGGATCAGCTCCACGAGTCTCTGGATAATCCTGGCTTCATTCAGCCACTGCAGGGAAAAGAGCAGGAGAGGAAATCCTCGCTGGATGTCCAGGAACTCAGAAGAGGAGGAGCTCTGGGGAGCTCTGCAGGAAGGGGAAGCCTTTCCTTCCCTCTCCTAATCCCTGGCCTGGAGGGGCTCCAGGAGAGCTGCACAGGGACTGGGGACAAGGAGGGACAGCACACAGGGAATGGCTCCCACTGCCAGAGGGCAGGGCTGGCTGGGATCTGGGGAATTGGGAATTGCTGGCTGGGCTGGAATTGCCAGAGCAGCTGTGGCTGCCCCTGGATCCCTGGCAGTGCCCAAGGCCAGGCTGGACATTGGGACAGTGGGAGGTGTCCCTGCCATGGCAGGGCTGGCACTGCAGGGGCCCTGGGGTCCCTTCTATCCCAAACCATTCCAGGATTCCTCGCTTCTCTGATTCCTTGACCACAGTAAGGAATTACACGAATTACTGTCCCAATCAATGCCTGAATTTCTGAACACTGGCCAGAACACAGATTCCCTTTCTCCAAGCTCTCCAGCTGGACTAAAGAGAGGTTGCTCCATGGACAAACGAGTGGCAGTCCCTTTGCTGCCAGCAGTGAGCCAGGCTGGGCTGTGGGTGTGTGCTGGCACAGAGGGGCCCCGTGTGTCCCTGGCAGGCAGGGCGGGGCTCGGGGCTCACATTGAGCACGTCCTGGCGCAGCGCCGTGGGCTCCACGCAGCTGATGAGGCGCAGCAGCAGGTCCATCATGGCTGAAGTGTCGATGTGCTTTAGCACCAGGCTCAGGAACTTGTCCTTTTTCCTCAGAAACGAGATCACCTGTGGAAACAGCAGCCTGCATCAGCTGCCAGTGGGACACACAACTTCCTTACAGCTCCCTCACAGCTCCCCTGCAAGTCCCTCACAAATCCCTCAAAACTGCCTCCCATCTCCTTCACAAATCCCCCACAAATCCCTCACGACTCCCTCACAGCTCCTCATAACTCCCCCACAAATGCCCCACAACTCTCTCACAGCTCCCCTACAAATCCCTCACAGCTCCCACACAGCTCCCTCACGATTCCCTCACAGCTCCTGGAGCTTCTCCTTTGTGTCTCAGCCACCGACCTTGGGTTGGGAACTCTCCAGGGAACAAGGGAATAATTCTTATTCTAAGGCAACACCAAATCACATCTTTTCAGCCAACTTTTCTCCCCTCTGTGCCACACAGAAAGCCAAGGCCACGGAAAAAAGTGAAGCTGGAGAATTGTCCTTTCCTCTCAAGCTCCCTAGCAGGCAGCATTAAAACCCCAGTATTTATTGGGATGTGAATATTCCTGAGTCCCTCTTCAGCCCATGCCTCAGCACCCCTTCCAGAAGGATGGATTACGGATTGGGATGACTCTGATGATCCTCAAAAACGCCTTGGAATGAGAAGTGAAGCTTTCCCTGTGCCATGGGGATATCCTGGCTGTGGCAGACCCCAACCCAGAGCTCTGGGAAGAGTCAGTCCCCACCAGCATCTCCCTGACCGAGGAATTCCCAGAGCTCTCCAGAGACTCCCTTTCCCCTCTGACCTTTAACCCAGCTGCAGGAACACCAGGAGCCCCCAGCAGGGAACAGCAGCAGCAGTGCCAGGAGTTCCCTGGATGGGCACAGACCCAGCCCCACCTGCTCTGTTTTCCGTGCAATGAGGTTCCCGATGGTCTTGCTGAAGAAGCTGGCGAGGAGGGGGTTCAGGGGGGGCTCGTGGTCCAGGAAGTCGTAGAGGATGTTGAGCAGGGTCTCGTCCCCGCCCAGTTTGTCGTTGATCTGCGGCACGTCCGAGGTGAGCAGCTCGCAGGCGGTGTTGGGATACCTGCAGGGACACGGCCACCGTGAGCAGGGTCAGACGGGAACCCTGTGGACATCTGCCCTCTGCAAAGGTGTCACACAGTGCAGGGACTCCTGCCTGACCTGCCAGAGCAGCTGAGGCTGCCCCTGCATCCCTGGGATGTCCAAGGCCAGGCCGGACATTGGGGCTGGAGCAGCTGGGACAGTGGGAGGTGTCCCTGCCATGGCTGGGGTGGCACTGGGGGGGCCCTGGGGACCCTTCCCACCCAAACCATCCCTGACTGATTCCCTCTGGTGAGGACACATCTCCCACAGTGGGTTATTACTGATTTGTGGCCAAACCAGGATTCCACACCTGGATCCTTCCCAATCTCTGCAATTGGAGCTCTGCACTCCCCACAAGCCACTGAAACACTTCCAGGCCAGCAGGGAGCTTTAACCCTTTCCCTGCACCATTCCCTTCCCCTGCAGCCTCCTCCTGTCCCTGCAGTTCCAGCCCTGAAGGTTCCCAAAGCCCCTCAGGCCCCGCTGCTGCTGTCCCAGGCTTGGTGCTGCCCAGGAGCTGAGGCCTGAGGGTGTCACTGTCACCCCCAGCCCTTCCAGCCCTCACAGCCCCAAGGGGACACCAGGACTCATTTCTCCTTCTCCTGGCTCATTCCATGCAAAAAGCATCCACAACTCCTGAAGATCTGCGTGTTTATCTCCCTGGGATACACATCCCATGGACAGGGGAGAAATGGGAGCTCTCCTGTCCCAGCAGGTCCTCAGAGCCCCAGCTCTGATCCAAGCCCTGTTCTGGCACCACATCCCAGCCCTGGAGGTTTCCAGGCTGCAGGGAACTCCAAGCCCTGCAAGCTGAGTTTCCCTCACCCCTGGGCTCAGCAGCTCATTGGCAGATCCAAGATTCACACTCTCCTTTCCTGCTCCAGCCTCCTTTCAGGTGTTTCATTCCACAAGTTCTGCTCGGATGGGGATTTATTGGGGATTTTTCCTCTTTGCAGTTTCCCCTCTGAACTTCATGAACCTCCATCCCACTGTTTCAGGGATAAAGCCCTTGGATGATCCCCTCTCCACACATCGTGAGCCCCACATCCTTCCCAAGTTATCAAGTTTCTCCCTGTTCCACTAGACAAACTTTCGTACCTTTCCTGAAGAGCCACAAGTGGGATTCCATCTGGATTTACACAGAGTGCATTCTTCCTGCTCGGCCTTTACTTATCCCAAAAGCTTCCCTGGTTTCTAATGAGCTCAAACCCTCCTTCCCCTCTCCACGGTTTGGAGACACCTCCGGGCCTGCTCTGCCCAGAACATTCCCAGCTCTCCCAGCCTGGCTCCAGAGCAGAGTTGCTGTGTCCCCAGGCTGGGGCAGCTCTGCAGGTGGGTCCCAAATTCCCCTTTCAGAGCAGGATCCTTGCACAGCTGCCACAGGATATTCCAAGTTATCACCCCACATATTCCCAGGCATTCCCACCTGGGAACGGCCACCTCACACCATTATCAAATCCTACCCCAAACCAGACCTGAACAGGACATTTCTGTGGCTTTCCACCAACCCCAGCCCTGATCCATTCCCACCAGGAAAAACCTGCCCAGTTTTATTTATTTATAGTCAGATCAGTTTTTTATTTTTATATAAACTTCACAAAGGCAAACAAACTCCCCAAACCCAAATGTCAATATTTTTGAGTATACATTGGGTTAAAAATGCATAAACACAACTTTGGTGAGAAGCAAACCCCTGTGAGGAGCTCAGGTCTGAGCAGAGGCAGGGCCTGTCCGGAGCTGTGATCCCTGAAATCAGCAGGATGTGGACGTGCAGCACACTGAAAATATCCCAGATTTTATTCATTTTCCAGCTCACTTTGTTCTGTGGGATTGGAAACCCATTGAGTTCAGAGATTTCCACCTCTTGTGCTTCCCTTTCCTAAAAATCTGCTCAAGGGGCTTTGGATTTTGAGGGAACAGCAGGGTAAGATTTTTTTGGAGACATTATTTGAGATAGGATTTTCTTTTGGATGTTATTTGAGATGTGATTACTTGAGACAATACTTGAGCTATGTTTTTTTGGAGACATTACTTGAAACAGGATTTTTTTCTGGAGACCAACAAATGTTAAACCATTAAACCGAAGCAACAAGTGCTGACAATTCCATCCAACACTGGAACATGCTGAAAGCCTCCCTGCCCCCAGGAGGTGCAGCAGGGATGGGGCCCAGGTGCAGTGTGTGTTTGGAGCCCAGGATCCCTGGCTGGGATGGCCCAGGGGCAGCAGGGGCCCAATACCTACTTGAATCGGACCTTCTCGTCCATGTCCACGGGGGGCTCGTGGGTGATGAGGGTGACCAGCTGCTCCATGCACTGCTGCTGGCACAGGAAGTCCAGCAGGCGCCGGTTCTGGGCCTTGCATTCCTGCAGGACATCGTCCTCATCCATCAGCTCCTCCAGGGTCACATCCTCCTTGTCCAGCAGCTTGTCCACGTGTGACGTTGTGTTCAAATCGAACTTCCAGAACATGGTGGTGGGACACGACTGCCTGGGGAGGGAAGCACTGCTCAGTGCTCAGTGCTCAGTGCTCAGTGCTCAGTGCTCAGTGCTCAGAGCTCCCTGCTCCCTGCTCCCTGCTCACTGCTCCCTGTTCACTGTTCACTGTTCACTGCTCCCTGTTCACTGCTCCCTGCTCCCTGCTCACTGTTCACTGCTCCCTGCTCCCTGTTCACTGCTCCCTGCTCCCTGTTCACTGTTCACAGCTCCACAGCCACTGGGGCCAGCCCTGAGCTTGGACAGGAACCTTTGGCACCAGCAACCTCACCACCAACCATCCACCAACCACCCATCCACCACCAGCACCCATCCACCAGCACCCATCCACCAGCACCCACACTTCCAGGCACGGGCACTCCACCCCTGCCCTGAGCCCTTCCAGTGCTTCCCAACCCTCCTGGGGAAGGAAATTCCCCAAAATCCACCCTGAGCTCCCCTGGCCCAGCCTGAGGCCGTTCCCTCTCCTCCTGTCCCTGTTCCCACATCCCAAATCCCCCCGGCTGTCCCCTCCTGTCAGGGACTTGTGCAGAGCCACAAGGGCCCCCCTGAGCCTCCTTTTCTCCAGGCTCAGCCCCTTCCCAGCTCCCTCAGGAATTCTCCAGCCCCTTCCCAGCTCCCCCAGACCCTTCCCAGCTCTGTTCCATTCCCTGGACGCACTCCAGCCCCTCAGGATCCTTCCTGGAGCACTGCACTTTCAATCTCCCATTTCCATCCACTCCTACCCCAAACCCTTGTTTGCCCTTTTGTTAGCCTGACTTTTCTTTGTGTTCTATTAATGATGTTTTTCCACTTTGCTTTCCCAATATCTGGAATTTTGGATAAGTTGTTACACCAAACCATTCAGACCACCCCTAGGAGACTCTTCCAGGGCTCTTACTTTTGCTTAACATTTCCTCTTCCAATTCTTCCCTTCCCCATCTCACCTCAGCTCCTCAACAACCCTTCACAGCCCTGTTCTGGCCACAGTACCAGGTACAGAATTCAGGGAATCCCGGGATGGTTTGGGATAGAAGGG